ATAATACTAGTCTTCAAATTCCAGAATTTGTCATCTTACCCCTTTAATCTACTTTTCCTCCATTCCCATTTTGGCAAAGGATATCACCATCTATCCCTTCACCTAAACCTGCGAATAATCCAAAACACTTCCCTCTCCCTCACTTTTAAATTCTATTTTTAAATATCTCTTAAGAATTGTTCTCTTTTCTCCAACCCTATGTTGACAGCCTCGCCCTACTTCAGTACCCACATTTACCTTTGGGAACCTTCTACCACCAGTATCATATTTTCCTTTGGAAACTACAGCAAAACCAGAGTGTGTTAACCAGCAGATCCTTTCTACCCACAACACTACAAGTAACCTAATTTAGCCTACTAACTCATTTGCAACCGCCAATGTGAATTTATGTCATTCCAAATTCTGTTTCTGGTGGCCACTGACGTGAATCTACCTTATTGTGGAAGACTGTCTTGTTGGGTTTATAATCCAAATAAAAATAAAAAGTATGGAATGCTAATGAGAGTGGTGTCTGAGGCAAATACTGGGTATGTCTGCAACTTTCAGCTATATTGTGAAAGAGGTGACTGTTTAGAAAAGAGCATTTCATTTGTGCTTAACGACAGAAGTTTCCAGCAACCAGCTTTAGATATTTTTATTTTCACCTGCTCTCAGTATTAGGAAAGTGAAAATTTTGCCGGTTACGAGTATGTTAAGATGGGTCGATATGTTGGCTGGAAGTGTTCGAAAAGAATCTGGGGAGTGGGAAGGTGAGGATGGAGTGAGAATAAAGGAAGATTTAAAAGAAGAGACACTCTCACTTTCTCTAGATAGCAGAATGTGAGAAGGTAATATCTGGAACTGCTGCGACCCTTGTTGCTACTCTGAGATAGCAGTCATAGGACAGAGTTTTTGATCTAGAATAAAAAGGACACAGAAACCCAGAGCTGGAGTCCTAAAGAGACTGAATCTCTGGATCAAACCAAACTGGAAGACAATGCTAGCACAAGGTCTTTTCATTTATACAAGAAGATAAATTTCCTTTTGGTTTTAAGACAAGTCAAGTTGAATTTTCTGACACTTGTCACAAGCATCCTAATTGATGAGCCTAATGACACAGATTTAGTGGTGTTCATGATATCTCAACTGGACTACTAGGATCTTCTCCCTGAAGAAATTCTCACAATGTAGCCTCTACACTGCTGCCAGGGTATCCTTTCTAAAATTAGGCTGAATGTTTCTCTTCCACTTGCAAACTTAACAATTACCTCATCTGTCTTTAAAATAAAATCCAAAATCTTTAACTGTGACAGAAAAAAGTATTCACAATCAGTCCTGTCAACTTCTCTGGTCTCGTCTCTCACAACTCAAGCTTTTTCAAGGCTCTGTGTTTTGTTTGCCTAGAATGCCCTTCTTCATGTAGATGATTTACACACACACACACACACACACACACACACGCACACGCACACACACACACACACACACACACTCTTTAAGACATTTCTCCAAACATGATATACAATCAGCAAATAAGCACATGAAAAGATGCTCAACATCACTAGTCTCAGAGAAATGCAAATAAAATCACAATGAAATACCACTTCATACACACTAGGATGACTATAATCAAAAAGATGGATAACAAATGTTGGCAAGATCATACTCTGTTGGTGGGAATATAAAATGGTACAGCTGCTTTGGAAAACAGTCTAACCTCAAGAGATTAAACACAGAATAACCCATATAACCCAGGAATTTCACTCTTAGTTCCAGCCACACTGGAATACATTTTTATGTATGCACAAGAAATAAAAACGTAAGTTCATACAAAAATTTGTACAAATGTTAATAGCACCACTATTTATAACAAAAGGCAAAAGAGTCCAATGTTCACCAACTGATGACTAAATAAATAAAATGTGGTATAAACACATAATGAAATAATATTTAGCCATAAAAAGAAATGAAGTACTGCTACATGCTACAACATGGAAGAACTCTGAAAACATGCTAGGTAAAAGAAATCAGTCACAAAAATCACATATTACATGATTCAGTTTATATGAAATGTCCAGAACAGGCAAATCTATAGAGACAGAAAGTAGATTCGTGATTGCCTAGGGCTGGGGGGGGGGGGCAGTGGGGAATTTAGGGAGAATGGTTAAAAGATATGGGGTTTCTTTGGGGGAATGCTGATGTATTCTAAGATTGTGGCAATGGCTACACAACTCTGAACACTAAAAACTACCAAATTGTGCACTTTAAGTAGGTGAACTGTATGTAAATTAGATCTCAAGAAAGCTGTTACAAAAAAAAAAGACTTTCCTCCTCTATGAAACACTTCTTAAGTTCCAATAAAACTAACCATTGCATAATATGTGTCCCTACTGTTCTCTATGAGACTTGCATGCCTGCAAATGACACTCTTGCATTTACCTGTTGACAAAATTTTTTCTGCAAATGACACTCTTGCATTTATCTGTGAGCTCCTCAAGGCAAGGGTTTGGCTCATTTTTTTTTTTCTTGGAATACACAGTGTCTGTATACAGTGTGTATAGTATGCGGTAGGGTAAACCATAAATGCTTGTTAAAAGACAAACTTAAGGGGAATCATGTGGAAAAGAGACTCTGCTTATTTCACAAACATTAATGTGCAAAAATGGAAGCTATAATGGCACAAATTTTAAGAATTTTCAAATAATCGGAATTGTCCCTTTCTTCAAAGCAGGGATTGTGGGTTCTGTGAATTCTCTGAATTGATACTCAAATTTGGAGTATATGTATAAATAGTATGTGCATTTTTCTGGAGAGAAAATACATAGCTTTCATTAGATTCTCAAAGGGGTATGCAACCCCAAAACGGTTAGGATTCACTGCTGCAAATTTCAGTTGCAGGAATATATCATTCAAGGTAGGTTTTTGCTTAGATTATACTACTTCAGTAGCTTACAATACAAATCACAATATTAGTAATGTCACAATCTTAAATTTATTCATTTAAAAGTATTTATTAGCAGGATTACCATGGCAACAACATGTTCATCATCAGTAGGGTAAAAAAAAAAAAAGTATTTATTGACTGTCCATTATATGTCAGGTGCTGAAGAAATAGAGGAAAGCAAGACAGATGAAGTACCTTCTCTCATGAACTTACATTCTAGAAGGTGGAAACAAAACAAGTAAACAAATAAGAAAAGTTGGTATCATAGAGTGATGCCAGCAATAAAATAACATGATGAAACAGGAAATGATGGGACAAGAAAAGAGTTATCTTAGCTAGGATCATCAAAGAACGTCTCTCTGAGGAGGTTACATCTGAACAGAAACTTGAATGATGAGAAGGAAGGAGGGGGAAGAATACTTCAGTAATAAAGAGAACTTAAAGTGCAAAGATTCTAAGACGAGAACACTGAATATCAACATGAGTTCTCAAGGAGCCATGTCTAATCTCCACTGTATACTTTCTGCAACATTCAGAAGAACGTCTCCCACTCACATTCGGTAGTGCTTGTTCATGAAAATTCATCATAATGGGAACTCAACTCAGTAGAAAGCTATTTTAAAAGAATCCCCATTATTCAGAAATATCATGAATTCACTCTTCTTCAAGGAATACCATATCATTAGACAAAACAGGTAAAATATTTTGGATTCTGGAGTAAGACAGAAAAAAAGATCAAACATACACAACGATATTTTAGAAATCTCTTGCAGGTGGATGGATAGTTTTATAGGCATAAAGATTACAAGCAAATTCTGTAAGCAGAATTATGTGTTCATTCTGCCATCCGCCCGTAGAGCTCGGTGCTTTGCATTTATAGCACTTATCGTGCTCAAGAGACTGGAACTACAACCAATGTAGTAGAGGAAAATGAAGTTAGAGGAAAATGAATTACAGTTCAAAAGGAGCTGTCCAGCAATCCACAGGTTGAACCTTAGTGGAAGTGTTCCGAGACTGTGAAACCTCATCTTATGGATGTTACAAGGATAAATTACAGGGGAAAGTTATTAGAACTTCATGACGTATACAGAAGTGTTCTGATTCTTCTCTTTCAGTACTATGCCCTTAACACTCATTCTGTTAAAGTCCCCAAATGCAGCCAAGAGGATGGATTATTTTTTTTTTGAGTTGGAGTCTCTGTCACCCAGACTGGAGTGCAGTGGCCGCTCCCGGCCACCGCAGCCTCGACCTGCTGGGCTCCGGCGATCCTTCTGCCTCAGCCTTCCGAGTAACTGGAATGACAGGCGCGCGCTACCACGCCCGGCTGATTTTTTTATTTATTGTAGAGATGAAGTCTCGCTGCCCAGGCGGGTCTCGAACCCATGGGCTCAGGCAATCCACTCACCTCAGCCTCCCAAAGGCGCAGGATTACAGGCTGAGCCACCGAGCCTGGCGAGGATGGATTTTTAAACACCACATACATCATGCCAATATCAAAGACTCAACAGATGCATTCTTATTCTTACTTAAGTAACAGGAACGTAATAACGTGTTTATCTCCACCTCTAAAACTTCGGTTATCAAAATCCTCAAGTTATATTTTAAAAGGCACAAAAAGAGACGGAAGCAATGCGCGCCCAACACCAAGTTGAAAGTACCCAACGAATTAAGGTTAATTATACCAATTCCAACAGACATTATTTCGTACAAAAGCACAACAGAAAGTACACGGAAACTCTAAAGAGGGAAACCCAACTGGGAAGCCTCTGACTCAAAGTACCTGAACAGATGGTGACAAGATGAGTTAAGGGGAAAGGCCCGCGCGTAAACGCGCGTGTGCGAGTCCCCGGAGGAGGCCCCGGCACGAACACACATTACTGGCCCTTCCCGCAGCAGAACCCGCTGCCCGCCGAGGCCGACGGAACCGCGGGACTTGGCCCCTCCCCAACGCCGTCTGGCCGGCCCTCTTCAGCCGGGTTGGCAGATACACCGGTGGGAGCCAGAGACCCCCCCCCAACTTCCTCGTTCTCGCGCTCGACGGCGCGGGCGGCTCCGGTAGAAAGGGACCCGCTCTCACCTTCGGGTGCCGGCGGCGGCTCCTGCCGCTTCCCGCGGGACAGGAAGGCCTTGGGCAGCAGCAGCGACACGGCCAGAACGACCCCCGAGGCCAGGGCCACTCTCTGCACCGTGGAGTACGCCATGGCTGCGCACCGTCACCGCAGGTGCGGATCCCGGCCGGAACCGGAACCGGAACTGGAACCGCAGCGCGGGCAGCCGCTCCTGATCCAGGCGCGAGCTGCGCGGACGGTGTCGCGCGAGGGACAAGGTGCGCCGGGCGCCCCCTCCACCTTCGCGGCGCGGAGCTGGCGCGCTCCTCTTAAGAGCTATCAGTCTCTGTGGATGGCACACTCGCCTTCCCGTTTATCCTAACCAGAAGCTCCTCCTTCCCCCTCACTCCTCACGGCCATACGTCACCGAGTCCAACGCATCCAGCATCATCTCTCCATCCCACTCACCACCGCCTCGCACCACCGACCCTAGACCACACCGTCGCTTTCCTCCTCACCGCCACGGACTCGCTGTCCTCCAGCTCCTACTCGCTCCCCTCGCTTTCATTCTCCGTCAGCAGCCAAAGGGGATCGTGCTAGTACGCCGCTCAAAACCTTTCCATTATCTTCAGAGCAACCATCAAACTCTGTGACCTCGAGGTCCTTACCAGTTGGAAGTATCATTGGTCTTACCAAAGCTCCTTCCAGACTGGGTTTTTGCTGTTTCCCTAGCATATTCCTTGTTTTCAGGGGACTTTTGCTCGTCCCGTTCCCTCTGCCTGGGAAATTCCTGACGCCATCTCCACTTGTCAAAAACTTCTCTGAAGAACAGTCAACGAACATAATCCTCATGAAACTTTTTCAGTTTCATGAAGTTTCAGCCTCTCCTTTCTCTACAATCCCACCGTTCCTTTTAACTGTCTTTATTCATTCGTTTAACAGCCATTTATTTAGTTTTTGCTATTATTAAACCCTGAACTTGGCACTCCAGGGTCTGATGAATAAGATGGGTTCCTTTGTAGAGCATTTGGGTATGTAAGCAAAATGCAGGAAATATTCTGAACTGGAGCAGTAAGCCCAACTGAAAAGACAAACAGTCAGGAAAAGCTCCTTTGAGAAGATAAAACTTTAGGTGGTTTCTGAAGAGTGAGTAACTTACTAGGCAGACAGGTGTGAGGTGGGGAGCGGTAGAAGGATATTCCAGGAAAAGGTAGCCAAGAAAGCAAGGGCATGAAAGCTGGAAGTTTCCTGGTATGTTAAGAAGACTATCAGTAATTTATTTTGTCTGGGTCACAGAGTGGTGTCAGGACACAATGTGATGACACTACAAATATAAACAGGAGCCAGATTGTGAAAAGCTTAGAACTTCCAGTTAAATATGGCAGATGTAACACATACATTTATCGTTACTTTCACCAGACACCTCCCCAAAATGAAAAAGAGATAAAGTGTGTAAACTACAAGACTAATACAGAGGAGCCTTGGATGACCTTCAGAATTCTGACTTGTGTGACTAAGGAGACATTGTTTCTATATAGCACAGTTTTGAGAACAGAAAAATCAGATTTGAGAGAAAGATTATGAGTTCAGATTTTGCCTAGTTGAAGTTACATGAAATATTCATGTAGAGACATCCAGTTGAATCTGTGGGTCTGAAGCTCAAAACAGATGTTTGAGCTAGAAATGATATGGAAGTAAGTAAGTCATCAGCCCATCAATAGTAAATGAAGTCTGGGAGAAGAGATGACATTAGCAAGATTGCTCGTGTGAAATTGTAAGAAGCCACATTGGAAACTTAGGTTACGACATAATGTTGAAGTTCCCATGTATGAGGACAGAATGGGGTAAAAATGAAGTGATCCAAGTGTTAAAATCTTTAATGTATGTGGAGTTACTGGAAGTTGAAAGGTTGCAGGGATAGAGAATGTAATGAACAGTTGGATGACATGCTCTTCCAAGGAGATGTGGTGGGGTTTGTAAAAATTTTTTTATTTTAAATATGTGGGGTACAATTCAGGTTTAGGTATACAAGTGTCCATTGTGCAGGTACCCTTGTTGATGAGGTATGTCCCCCCTCCCCTGGCAGTTTTCCACTACTACCAGTCCCATCCCCACCCTCCCCTGGCAGTTACCCATTACTGCCTATCTCTTTCTTACAGTATTACGATAGTTGTTCAAGGTCCACTTGTGAGTAAGAACATCATTTCTTTGTTTCTGTGATAGATCATTCAGTATTATAACCTCTAAGTCTATCCAAGTTGCTGCAAGTTCATAATTTTGTCCTTCTTAATGGCTGCATAAGAAGCTGTGGTTTTTAAAGAAAGACAGCAAAGAAGCAATTTTGAAACAGCAAGGGAAAACAAGTTGGACATCTATTTTATTTCCAGGCTTTGAGCTGTGGGAAGAAAAATAAATCTTACTTTGGGAGAACTGCAAGGAAAATAGTTCCCCAGAGGGAACAACTCAGTTTTCATTAGAACAAGAAAGCTAAGAGAAACTTTAAAGTAGAGGATATAGGAATTTCTCTGATGACAGACCTTGAGTCCATAAGGCACAGTAAGTGGAAGGTTCGAGAAGCCAGAGAGGGCTAGGAGATGGAGTCAGAGTAAAACATGAATTGAGAAGTATGGAGATGAGTGGGCGTGTGAAAATGGATGATCTGTTTGGCTTGGACTTTAGATGATGGCCAAGGTAAGTGGGCAGAGATCATGATCACATTATCCTGGAAGTGGCCTAGAGAAAGCTGAAGACACAAAGTTGAGGTCCAGAGTATTTAGCTGGGATCATATTCATTGTTGCAGATAGATGGGACTTAGGACTGGAAGAGGGAGAAGCATCCCTGGCAGGACAGAGCTGTTGGGTCGCTCATGAAGCTGGGAAAACGTGAGGTGGAACCATGGGTGACTGCTCTCTCTAGTGGCTGGTGGTATTGTGGAGCCATATACTAGGTCTTATCCTTGAAGTGAAAGTTTAGTTTTTCCCATAAAATATCAGTAGAGAGCTGAGATCAGAAGCCTGATGACTATAGGCGAAAGAGGGAGCAAATGGCGAGGAAGTAGAGATAACAAGTGCAGGCCATTATCTGAGAGTGAGGTGGGAGAGGCTTTTTAAGTGTTTGGAAATGGGGAAGAAATCACTTCAGCTTGGCAAAGGGGCTCCCTGTGGAGCTTAAAGACAACCAAGGATTGCCTGTTCTCTCCCTGAAGACTAGCAGCATCTACCAACCAGCACATTCTCAGCTGGACCTGCATCCCCAAAGCATCCCTTGAGACTGGAAGCTCCAAGGGACCCATTCTAGAAGACTGGCAAGGAAAGTGGGCAAGGAAGGGAGACTGTGAGACCCTTAGAGATCAGTCACCTTAGTTCTTTTGTTATTAGACCAAAGGGGAAACTGAAGTCTATAAAGGGGGAAAGTTTTGCTGTGAATCACTCTGATCATTTGTGGCTGTACCAGGACTGCAACCCAGTTCTTCCAGCTCTCAGACTAGCATTCTCTCCATCACCTTGCACTGTTACTGCTGTGTCTGCCAGTTATTTGGGGAAGCAAAAAGGAAATAGTCTTCAAAAGTAACAGCTAGCCCCTTCATTTGCTGAAGTTAAGAAATCTGTTACTTCCTTGTGTCTTTTTCATATCTGACAACCTGTGGGAAAGTGCCCCAGAATGTCTGTCATTGTGAGCTGGAAGATTTGGCCCATGAAATCATTTTGACAGCAGGGAACTTGTTGAATTCCACAGGGGAGAAAGGAACTTGAAGGAAATAGAAATCTAGGACATTTAGTTGTGATTAATTATGGAATAGGCCAGGCACTATGGCTCATGCCTGTAACCCCAGCACTTTGGGAGGCTGAGGCAAGAGGATTGCTTAAATCTAAGAGTTTGAGAACAGTCTAGGCAAAAGACCTTATCTCTACCAAAAAAAATCACAAAATTAACTGGGCATGATGGTGTGTACCTATAGTCCCAGCTACTCCAGAGGCTGAAGCAGAAGAATCGCCTGAGCCCAGGAGGTTGAGGCTATAGTGAGCCATGATCATGCTACTGTACTCCAGCCTGGGCAACAGAGTGAGACCTGACTCAAATAAAATAAAATAGAAATAAACTGTAGAATAAACTTCCCTAGGGATCAGGTTGACAACTGTTTCTTTATTTCTTAAATATTAGGTCTCCAAGGAAGGCAGGTTCATGAGGAGCTGAACTCTCCTCTGCTCAAAAGTCTTCAATGTCTCCCTTTTGGCTGCCATATTTAGTCCCGGCCCATCAGCCTCTCTTTCAAGGATCTGCATAATTCATCTTCTTGCCCCCAATCCTCTTCTCCTCTCTGGGTGAGCATAAGCTCTGTTTATTCCTCTCCTGAGGTGCAAACTTACCCAATTCCTTCTCTCCTCCCCTTTCACAATCAATCTTCCCTAAAATGTAAGGCCCAAACAAGTATGAACCTCTTCCAGGAAACTCCTAGACTCCAGACCATGTTGACTCTTCCTTCCACTGAATTCTGTGGACATGTTTCTTATAGATTTGTTGGGCCTTTTCACCTATATGGGAGTTCCAGGAGGGTAGGGCATTCTCCCATGGCATGGTTGAGCACACAAATGCCCCACAGTAGGTATTTATTCAAGCACAAGATGACTAGCTTCACAAACACACACTGATTCTGCCACTGTTCCAAGCAACTGGACATTTCTCAAGGAATTCACAATTAGAGCTTCCTTGAAGTATCACCCCCCTGCTCTCAAAGAGTTTTGTTTCAAAAAGTCACTGATTTTCTCCACTATAGGTGACTCCATCTTATCTACCAAATTTGCACCATAAGACTGTGATGGTTAACATTATATGTCAATTGGGCTGGGCCATGGTGCCCAAATATATGCTCACAAATTATTCTGGATGTTTCTGTGAGGATGTTTATGGATGAGATGAGTAGTTAAATCAGTGGGATTTAGACAAGAGAAGAAAATTGGGGTATCCAAATAGGAAAAGAGGAAGTCAAGTTATTCTTCTTTGCAGACAACATGATTCTATACCTCAAAAACCCAAGAGAATCTGTCAAAAACCTCCTTGCACTGATAAAGGACTTTGGCAAAGTCTCAGGGTATGAAATAAATGTGCGAAAGACAGTCACATTCCTATACACCAACAATAAACAAACAGAAGCCCAAATAAAAAGCACAATCCCATTAACAATAGCCACACAAAAAATGAAATACCTTGGCATCTTCTTAACCA